ATTGATTCACCATTTTTTGAGATAGATCTTACAAGGAGTCAAAAAATTGCATCAGCTTTAAGTAATTATTCAACCAATACGTATTTATAAAACATTAGAGAAAATCTTCTTCCTTTATTATTAACATTGTTGTTAAAAACTCGATTTGTATCTATTTTTAAAAATAATCCTATTAAGATTTTAGCCAAAATAATATTATGTAGGCCTCGTTATTTGGCAAATATGTCCAAACCTCTGCCAGCTATGAGCAAAATCTCCAGACCCACAATTATTTTGATTAATTTTGATAGGGCCATTTTTTTAAATCGCCCAAATCGGACTTTAGAACACCCTTAGATGTTGGCCTATTTTGTGATACCTAAATTAAATCAGTTGTAAAATATTTGCAAGAATAATAACTTAAAAATCCATTTTGTTTTTGCAAGTTTAGGGTCATTTTTCTTATTCTGAATTTTGGCATCTTAATCATTTTCATTCTTTCACCAAATTAACTACGATAACATTTATCCTTCCTCGTTTGCGCTGTCAGGTGTTTCAGTATGCATGATTAAATAGTTTTTTTCCCATTACAATCTTATTTTTAAAAGATTCATCAAAAAAAAATATAAAGGAATCAAAAAATTAAAAAATATTTTTTTGGAGGGACAGTTGAAAAAAATTAATTTTTTTTATTTGGGGGGGGGGCAGTTTGCTGGTCTATAATTTTATTTAAATATAAGACTGTTATAAAAAATCTTAAATAAATTGATTTAAATTTTATTAAAGTAATAAAATGCCGGCTTGATGGAGGGAGTGGGGGTTTATATCATCCATGAAAATTTATCATATAATTTGAACAAGATTTAATCTTTACATTATCTTATATTTAAGAGAAAAATCTTATAATATAAAATTTTAAGAATTATAATAAACTCTGGGGTCACTTTTACAGGGTTGCTCACTAAATATTAATCATTCTAGAATAACATTTTTTAATTGATTCGCAACATGAAAGGTGCCTCATTTCTTAAAACACACTTGTCAAAGACACTCATTATTTTAAAGTATTTTTCATGTCCTATACAAAGACTAGACTTCTAATAAATTTTGAACTCATAAATCCACCAGCGTTTTAAACAATATAAAAGATTCTTATTTCTGTTTACACAATCCTTAACATTAGCATGGTTCATTTTGAAAAGAAATTTACCTGAAAGCAGAACGATATTTCATTGTTCGTGATTCATTTACCTTATTTATGATCCCATTATAATTTTTTATAATGGGATTAATATTGTAAGAAGTTGTATTCTTAAAGTCCAAACTCATATTAAAGTCGTAAAAAAAAGTGACTGCACCAGACTTCTATGCCAACCCACCAATTATTATTATTACTATATAATATATTTCATAGTCCCTATGTCAGGAGACAAAGGTAGTAGATGGCAGGAAAATAATTTAATGAGGAACACTCCTCATAGTACTTTTATTTAAAATTAATTATTATTTTTTTCGATTGACCAATTCCGATTCAGCTGGCTGAGTCCACTCCGAATAAGTTTTAAATTAAACTTTTTTCTATTTATTTTAGTAAAGTTAAATAATTCAAAAATCCTTTTTTAAATTTTATAGTTTTTGAATCATTGATATTATTACATGATACATAACTATTTTAAATATTTTAAAAAACTATAAGTTTTTCCTCCTTCAATTGTAACGATTGGATTTAATAAATCTTTCGACTACAACTCAATATGCAAATACGTGAAAAGTCAACTGAAAGACGATTTAGTTATGATAAATTGTGAAAACCAAGGTAAATAAATTGAATTGATTTATATTATATATTATAATATATATTACTGGCAATATGCGTAGTTTTAATAATATCTTAGTTTATCGGTATGACCAACATATAATTTTAAATAGATTCAAAAGATTGTTATCACATTGTCTGAAATTTATAGCAATAAATCCTTGTTAGGCACTTGTGATTGTTTAATATTCTGTGTATATTATCCCTATTCTCTTGTTTCTATCAACTTTTCATCTACATTTTGGGAAAAATTAGATTTTCAAATTAAAAATGTGTGCTCAACAAATGATTGTGATATTTTCCAATAATAAAACAGTTATTGTGGGTAATTTATATTTGATCTATCTCATTTTGCCTTAAATAATGGGGAATTAGCATTTCTTAATAAATTTAAATTATTTACGTATATTTGATTAGGCGCATAACGAGCTGATGGCTAGGGAAACTAATCCCCTCTGTAGCCAAAAAATGCTAATTATTTATAAAATATTTTTGACAAAATATCAAATGTTTTCATAAATTACAAAATATAAAAGTTTTCATAAATTACAAAATATAAAATGTTTTCATAAATTATAAAATATTAAATGTTTTCAAAGTGAATTTTTTTTAGTAAAGCTTTGAAAAATAAAAAATAATTTTGGTCAAGAATTTGACTATACATTTTCACCGTGGGAAACAAATGATTTCAAAATATCTTCGATATATTACCAAATAACCAAACCAATGAACGATATGATATTCATTATATGGCTAAAATTTTACTTTCTTTTGACGATGAATGAATCAGCTTTATTTTATAGAAGTTACCCCCAATTTTCAAATAATTAGTACCTATTTAAAAAAAAATTAATATTATTTAAATACTAGCTGATAGCCCGTCAAGAATGACGGGGAATCACAATTTTCTCCTGTATTCAATGATGAATAAGTAATAAATTTTACCTTTATTTGACGATAGTTGAATCAGAATAGTTAAAAGAGAGGAATAGATTGTCCGTATTAATTCTTCCAAGATTTCTATAAATTTTTAAAGAAAAGGCCAAATATATTATGAAAATATGGAATTAAAAAAATATGATGTGAGTTATGATATTTATTAATTTTAATAAATTTTTCACATCCAGACGCAATGAGTTTTGCTCTCACGTATAAAATCTACACTCATCTCTTTTGTGAACTTCTTATAATTTATTAGGTGAAAATTTTATTTATATAATTTGTACACGGAAAACATAACTAATAAAAACTTTACTCTTTTTTTCTAAAAATCAAAAATATGAAAAAAATAAATTACAATCTTCGAATCGTAAAAAACATTATTATTATTTTTTTTTAAATAAAATACAAAAATATCTTTGACCTCATTTCTTTTTCATATAAAAATATAATATATCGTTAACATCATTTCTTTTTCATATAAAAATTCAATATATCTTTAACATCATTTTAAAATAATACAACACGCCCCCTTAACAAAAATCCTGGGCAAAATTATATATATATATTTTTTTTTATATCACTATGCAAAAAAAATTAATCAGCGCATAAGCATTCAATAAATGATTCCCATAATTTTTTGTTTAAACAATATTTTTATGTCTGTATTTCTTCTTTATCGCTTCATACACTCAATCAGATCTTGATAATCATCCCAGTATTGTTTTTAGAAGGTCGATTCTAACGTTGCCATCCTCCTTTCTTTTAGGCGATTTTCGTAGTATCCGTCATAACTTTTTGTCCTCATCACATAGTGTCGTTCCTCTTTTACGTTGGGCATACGATGTATGTGGGTAGTGGTTGCTTCTTGATTACATGATTATTTACACCATTGAAACCATTGAAATCTACATCTTTATTAACCAGGAACTATCCTTACATATTTTCTTTTTTTTTTACAATTTCCTCTTTCAACCATTTTTATGCAATCTCTTCTGTAATTGATCCCTGTGCCTGACACCTTCACTATTATCATCAAATTTTACCCTATTTAATTTGTTTCCCAAATTTTCTATTTCTACATCTTTCTCCCATTTTTTAGTACTTCCATATAATCTAATCCATACTAACTGTCCTACAGTATATTCCAACTCCCTTCTGTCAATATCCTCCACAATTACCTCAGCTTTACTGGGTATTAACATATCCAAAAACATTCTTACCTTCTCCTCAAAAATTTCACTATAACTATTCATTAAAACTGCCACTGCAAGCTTCCAATTTTGCAAACTCGACAATTGTTCCTTTCCTTCCCCTCCATTAATCTCTTTTTCCTCTTTTTTTCTCACAAATTTCGCCGGAAAATTCTGTAACACTGGTTTATCTTCCTTTTCATTATCCAGTTCATTATACATTTCTTGACTAATAATTTTCTCCTCTATTTCTTCTGTTTTTGTGACAATTTTTATTTCATCATTATTTCGCTCATTAATACATTTTTTACAAGGTATTTCTTTTTTTTACCTCTCTAGGCTTGTCATTTTCCGTAATATTAACACTTTGCGACAACTCAGTATATCTTACCTTTCTTTTTTTAACTGGAACTATTCGCGTTTGAGACATATTTTCTTTTTCAAATTCACTTTTCTGATTACCCATCACACCATTTCCAATGATTTCACTTTTTACATGACATAATTCTCCATTTTTTATTTCATCGTTCTGAACTTCAATCATTTCATTTCGTTTAATTTCGTTTGAAAAGATACCCCAAAAATTATTTAATGGATCAATCTTAACAATCCATTCCCACCCCATAATCATATCCACTTTTTTATCAACAATCCACAAATTTAAATAATTAACTATACCATTTATCACAAACGGTACTTCAATTTTTCCTAAAACCTTTATTTCCGATCCTCAAACTGTTTAACTCTCATCTCTTCTTTAATTATATTCTTTCCCGGCCAATATTCACAAAAATTTTCATAACCTACGATCGATATTGCCGCACCTCTATCCAATAACATAGATATTTTTCTACTTCCCACAACTATTTCCACACGAGGACATTTATCTTTCTCACTTTTGTCCTCTAATTTTAAAATAGGGATTCTATAATCTTTTATAATTCCCCCATTTACCAAATTTACATTTTTTTTTCTACTAAATCTTTCTTAACTTCTATATCTCCCTTCACACGAAATTTCATTTCATTCTTTAATGTAATACCCCCCATTTTATTACTTTCGCTATCATCTAGTCACCTTTCTCGACATTCTATAGCACTATGCCCTTCCTTTCTGCATTTAAAACACATAACTTCAACTTTATCTTCTTTCAACATATCATTATTTTGTAGCACTCTCACATTAGATGCCGGTGCTATGTATTTCACTGCCGGAAATGCTTCTCCATTTATCGGTTCTCTTGCATAACAATTCTCTTTAGCATGTCCCATTTTTCCACATCTTTCACATTGAAATGTTCTTTGATTATTTCCCATAATACGATACGTCGGAACATAACATTTTTCACTACTATGTCCAACTACTCCACATCTATTACATTTAATCGGTTGCTTGTTAAACATTGCACCGTTCTCAACACAATTTCTACTTATATGCCCAAATTCTCCACATGAATAACATTTTACATTTTGCATATTAATCTTCGGACGATTAAATCTATTTAGGAAAAAATTTTCTTTTTCCCAATTTTCCCTTTCATTTCTCTGCAAGTTCATTGAAGTATTATACTCTTTAAAATGATCGTATTCCTTATCATTTCTTCGATCATCTCTTTTGAAATCCCTTTCATTATACCTTCTCTCCCAATTTTCTACATGACTACAATTATTTCGTTTATTATCTCTCATTCCATTTTCATCTTTAATCTCTATTTCTCTTTTATTATCAATATCTTTTCGTTCCTCTCCCGATCTAATAATATTGATACTTTTCCTCATTCCTTCTATCATATTTTCATTTAATATTTTCCATATTTCATCCTTTAAATTTAACATCTCTTCCGTAATTCTTTCATTTTCATCAACGTTTTTTACTTCCCTTTCATTTTTTCCTTTTCCTTTTTCAATTTCATTATTTTTTATTTCAATTTCCTCCGTAATTTTTATTCTATCTTTTTCTATAATTATTTTTATTTTTTTTCCGATGTAACATAATACCAATTATCTATAAACATATCACTACTACGGCTATAATACAATTATTTCTCTGTGGAACCATTTCCACATACTTTTGAGTTTTTATACTTCTTTTATAATTAAACATTTATTCTTTATTCACAAATTTATAAAAAATTTTAACATTACTAAAAGTTAGACAATATATTAAACCAAATATAATTAATAATATCAAAATTATATAAATGCACATCAATTTATATATTCCAAAAATTTTTTACCTTTTTATTTTTAAGAATTTTTTATTTTCCGTGATTGTATTTTTTATTAGTACACTGAGTCCACTATTACCCAGATATCTTGTCCGTTGGTTAAATAAAAATTAAACGGCACCACTTTTGTGGACTTCTTATAATTTATTAGGTGAAAATTTTATTTATATAATTTGTACACGGAAAACATAACTAATAAAAACTTTACTCTTTTTTTCTAAAAATCAAAAATATGAAAAAATAAATTACAATCTTCGAATCGTAAAAAACATTATTATTATTTTTTTAAAATAAAATACAAAAATATCTTTGACCTCATTTCTTTTTCATATAAAAATATAATATATCGTTAACATCATTTCTTTTTCATATAAAAATTCAATATATCTTTAACATCATTTCAAAATAATACAACAATCTCAAAGAATCATTTAAATGCTTTTAAACCTTCCTAAATACTCTTTTATAAAAATACCTGCCATCATAGATTCGAATTAATTATGGGGATAAACTTGATTATCTCACAAACACTATGGTGGTATCCATCACATTGCAACGGGCTATTTATAAGATTATTAGCAAAGAAAATTGGCACTGATCAAAGCCCAGGGTCTTAACTAATTAAGTATACGTATCAATTAGGATTTGGTGTTAAGGGAGAAGGCAAAATAATTTCACATGCCATTTGTATTATATTCAAAATCTTCCTCCTAACATGGCTATTATCAAAGTAGATTTTAAAAATACTTTCAATAGCAAATTTCGTGAACATTTCATAAATTGTTTTTATCATAAATTTCCTAATTCAAAATTCATAGAGTCATACTGTAACGATAGAACTCTTTATTCAGCCAATATGTCATAGATTCTGACGAATGGATCGAGCAGGGGACGCACTGTTCTTGACAAAATAATTGTTTTTCAATTTCAGCCAATTTTAAAAGACTCATTCTTAATTCGAAATCTGTTTCCATTATAACTATATATAAAATCCTCATCTAGCAAGATTAATTTTTTTTATTGAATACATAAATAATAAAAATTAAAAAAATAAGGAAATTAATATAATTAAATGAAGTATATTCAAACATGTTTCAATTTGACATATTGAATGCAATAAGTATATATATATATTTCATTAACATCTTTTATAAGAATAATGTAGGCTTATTTCTGATTTTTCCATCACCAAATTAAGGAGAAAATACTTATTCCCTGCATTCTTGAGGGATATCAGCTAGTAATCATTTAAAAAATTTTAAAGTAAGCTTTAGTAATTTTTTCTATGAACCTTCGATTCCTTAAATTGATAATTTGTTGACAAGCATAACCTCTCCAACCATTGCGTGGGCTTTATTTCTTTCAATTGTGAACTTGGGAAAATTTTTTGTTTGTTATATATTAATTTTGACTTTAAGTCTTCATATGTCTTGTAAAAAATCTTGTTCTTTAAGGGTTCAGACCCTGAGGGGGGGGAGTCCAGACCCGGGGTTCAAGCCTGAATAGTAATTTAATTAGTAAAGCTGAAAAGAACGAAGGATGCTAAAACGTACGAGTAAGTAAAAAAATATTTTATTATTATAAACTAACTTCTTTTTCTCTTTATACACATGCTATATATAAACTATATAAAATTATAATATATATGATTAAACAAAAAGTAAGGTTACGAAAAATAAAAAGTAATATAAGTTGAATTTGAATTCATAACAAGAATAAAAATATTATTTGAATAAATATAATGAATGTACGTTATATAAATTAAAATATATTACTATTCAATAACCAATATTATAATTTATTAATTCCTATAATGTAACATTCTCCCTCTTCTACAAGCCTTCCCATAATTTCATCTAAGAAGTCATAGAGAGTTTGTTGTTCAAGTGGTTTATCGTTTTGGTTGTCAATGTTGCACAAGTCACTAATCGTTGGCTTGTCCAAATCGTTGGTTTTTTCGTTTTTGCACGTTTTTGTCTAAATCGTGAGCTTGATATCCTTATCGTAAGTTGTCCTTATAAATCGTGACTTCATATAGCTTGCTTGTAATGCTCAGTTGTTATTATTATCATTTTTCAAAATTGTTATTATCATCAGTAAGTTGCGAATAATAAGAAATAATAGTTCATCATATTAGATATAAGAATAAACGACGAATGATATATCAATAAGATTGTTATATAATATTTTCAGCGTTTTAATTTTTCGCATTTTAATGACTTTTATTTTTTCGAGTTTTAGTGTTTAATTAATTTTTGCGTTTTAGTATTTAATTTATTTTTATTTATTTTCAATCTCCGAGGTTAAAATATGCAAATAAAATATTATTCACTAGTTTTAATTCAAAAAGTGTTATTTTTAATAAAAATTCTTCATAAAATAATTTTTAGAAAATAATCTCATCACATCATTTAAATATTTATCGAAAATGAAGATGTTACATAACCACTTGTCTTCAAAAGCTTTATTTCAAAAACATTTTTATCATATTAAGTATTATTTATAAGGGTTATTTAAATCAATCATGTGATTTAAACCTTTTAATTCATATGTTTTAATTACATTTTAATATATTTAAAATTAAAGTTTTATCTTCTTGTTTAGGATTTTAATTATATCTAAGAATTCATCTTTAGATTTAGTTAATTTTCAACAATTGGTCATCATTCAAGAAATAAAAAAATATCAATATTTCACTAAGAAATTAAGTAAATAATAAGGCTTTTATGTGTGCAAATATATCCATTATGATTTTACATTTTAGTTATTTTAAAAATTTATAACATGCCTTTATCCCGGCATAAAATCTTAATTTATAATAACTTATCTTCATACGTGGATTAGAATAATAAGTAATCATCTTTGGTCTCACAATATAGAATTCATAACCTAACGTCCAACTTCCATATTGGTTCTTTCTAGGTTGCCACATTAGGTTAGGTGCTGGTTATCATATTCCAGTCCAACATCCAGAGCCAGGACACCATGAAGAAAGAAGCTTTTTGCATGAAGGAACGTGCTAAAGTTTGATTCTTTGTCATCTCAATAGATTAGGTAGTCATCTCAGTAGATTAGGCAGTCATATCAATAGATAAGGTAGTCATCTCAATAGGTAGTCATCTCAATAGGTTAGGCCGTCATATCAATAGATAAGGTAGTCATCTCAATAGGTTAAACAGTCATTAATAGATTAGGCATTGATCATGTCAATAAATTAGGTAGTCATCTCAATAGATTAGGCAGTCATATCAATAGATAAGGTAGTCATCTCAATAGGTAGTCATCTCAATAGGTAGTCATCTCAATAGGTTAAGCAGTCATCAATATATTAGGCATTGATCATGTCAATAAATTAGGTGGTCATCTCAATAGATTAAGCAGTCATCTCCATAGGTTAGGTAGTCATCTCATTCTAGTCCACCACCCAGAGCCAGGGCACCATGAAAAGAAAGAAGGAAAGGATATACCAGCGAGTATGTAAAAATATATTTTATTATTATAAACTAACTTCTTTTTCTCTTTATACACATGCTATATATATATATACTATATAAAATTATAATATATATGATTAAACAAAAAGTAAGGTTACGAAAAATAAAAAGTAATATAAGTTGAATTTGAATTCATAACAAGAATAAAAATATTATTTGAATAAATATAATGAATGTACGTTATATAAATTAAAATATATTACTATTCAATAACCAATATTTTAATTTATTAATTCCTATAATGTAACAAAAGCATATAAACACATGACCAATATCTCATGTTTTTCATTATCGTTAATATTCTTTATTATAATAAATAATTTAAGTTTTGGTGGAAAAAGTATTTAAGCTATCTCTTCACAGAGAGTTTATTGCAAAAACATAGCTCATTGATTCCTTTTTTTATCTAAATATTATTTTTATCTTAATTTAAAATTAATTCATAATTACTAAAATTAGTTAAAGATGATGTTAGTAAATTAATGAAACATGTTTGTAATAAATACCGTTTTTATATTAAAGTTTTAATATAGTGATCTGGAACTTGACTTTAATTGTTTTGTATTTTTTCTACATATTAATCTTTAAACAAAATATTTTTATATACTGTGCAAACTTTAATCAAAGATAATATTTCCTTTTCTCTAATTCTTGTTTACATTATATTAGCATACGTTTCAAAAATTATCTTTCATACCATCCTGCTTTAATTTTTTTATAAATAAAACAATATGTATTTTATAAACTATTACTTTACCTCATTCGATACCTGACAGTTGATTATTACCATACAGTGTACTTCGGGTGAATTATACTGGATATGTACTTTAAAGGGAGGATGGGTTTCTTAAGGGTAGGATACGGTACCATACTATGTCATTGAGTGCATATAATATCTTTTGTCTATATGTATAATAGTTACCTTTTCCCAAAATTTATTATATATCATACTTTATATTTAATGTTAATATTGTTGTAATGTTCTATCCGAATATCCTCAGTAACATATTTGACGATATTTTATAAGAAACTGGATATATTCTTAACTCCTATCGAAATTTATTACACAGAAATATAAAATATTATATTATTTTTAAATTTAAAAGCCATAAGAAAATTTGATATTCAAAATGTATATTCAATGGGATGTTTTTATTACTCATACGATAATAGTTTGACTGAATTTGATATAAAAAATAATGAAACTGGTAGATTATTTGATGATACGAAATGTTTATTTATTTGTTATAATAACACGTTTCAATATTCACTTATAATGGGAGAAAAATGCTTTTGTTCAAACGATTTTGGTAAAATTGGACGAGCAGGAATTTGCAATGAATCATGCACATTTAATAGAGGACATTATTGTGGTGGAATTAGTCGATATACAGCTTATTTTACAGGTAAATATCATTTCTTCTGTATTTCTTTTATTTAATTTTTAATATTAGTTGTGTTAAATATTTTTTACCTTTGTAGGATATAGACCAAAATGGTCCTATAATGAAATCAAGAGAGGGAGATATGTGTTTATAAAATCCTATTCTACCCTGCCTACCTCCTATTCTATATGCAATATATATATATATGCACAAAAATTAAAATTTTTAGGTAATCTTTATTTTACACAATATTCAAAACAAAATAATTGTTAGTTTATTATTAAAAGTGAACTTTATTTGATATATTTGTCTTAAGTTTATTTTTTACGCTATCTTATTTTATTTAAATCTATCTTTAAATTCTTATATTATAAATTTTATCATTTTTTTTAAAAGGAACCATAATTATATCTAAAAATATCTAATTTTTTTGACGTATATATAAAAATTCTTTCATTTGTAAAAGCCGGATTTTTGTGGCAAGATTTTTTAAGAACTTATAAAAACGGTGAAAAATGGTTATTGTGGAGTTACTATTGGAGTTCATTAGGAAGTTGTTAAAATTTTTGTATTTGTTGATCTTATTTGTTTCTGCTATGTTAGGGGATTGATATTGATGTTAGAGGGGAATGAAGTGGCGCATGTGTAGTCCCATATTAGTGGTTTTATAAATCTATTAAAATATCTAATTATTTATCAAAGAGAAGAGAAGAGAAGAGAAGAGAAGAGAAGAGAAGAGAAGAGAAGAGAAGAGAAGAGAAGAGAAATTAATCTAGTTTTACAGAGTAAGTTAGCATGAAATATAAAATATTTATCAAGTAATATTTTATCTGAATAAAAAACACATTAATTTAATAATAAAGAAAATTATAAGTATAAAAATAAATTTAAATTAGAATGAAATAATATAAAGGTTAATAATATATTTTATGATTTTCTGCTTAAGTAATTTAAAATAAAATTATAGATTGTAAATAAGCAGTAGCGTTATGGCAGGGGCTTAGCCCCCTGAAAAATTTGAAGAACCCCTTCAAAAAAATTTTTATACCAAATGTATTTCAAATTTTAGCTAAAAAAGGAAGGTAATTTTGAAAA